CATAAACAACATACGTAGGTTACGAGTTACCATATGCTGAATAAACACTCATTCTTACTTATGAAGTCAACCTACCAACACAGTCTTTCATTTACTCTGTCCATACCACTATATTTCATTGCAACATTGTTACATTCAGTTCAACGGTAACCGTTTCAACAACTGTAGTGATTTATTCAAGCGGCAGATAGTTTATCGCGAAGGCGTCTGTTTTACAGTCAACTCGATTAATTTTTCGTAAATATGAATGGAAACTCTCTCTCTCGAAGCGACAAAGTTCATTTATTTTTCGCCTTTCAGTGATTTGGATTGGGTTCAATTGCCATTAACTTACTATAAATACCAAGAGAGCAGTAAATTTACTTTTGACTTAATCGAGAAAAAGGGATATGGAATTAATGTGAGCTTTGAATTGTTGAAAATCATTTATTCGAATCGAATTTCAATGTTTCAACGTTTTACCCCTTATAGCTTTATTTTCATAGTTCAAGCGAATTATTACCGAACCAAAATGCTTTGGGCTGGTTTTACATTAATGACTATGTGGAAATGGAATTTATATTGAAAGTAACTTGAAATCAAACATTGATTAATTAATTATGTACACATTTGGATTGATTTCATTCTAGTCTAGACATCACAGGTAATTACCTGTCATTTAAATGATCTGAATGTTTGGGACTTATCAATTGATGAGCGAAAATGTCGATGCCCAGACAAGCGTTGGCCTTTGAATGCATCTCTTTCTTACAGTTGGTCCTCGTGCATAATTTCTACTCGAAGTTCAAATTGAGCTAGAGCAATGCAATTGCACAATCCACAAATATTTATGAAAATAATAAAGGATAAGTCCCAAACTTTTGGAAGCTGATCGTCTTATGTCAAAATCAACAATTCCAGACGAACTCTTGAAGTTCTTCAACATAAGAATGACATAAATACGCAGAAGCTTCTGAGTTACCCAACGAACGCACAAACGAAGACACAACAACGGAGAAAACACAAGCAAGAGAATGTGCTTGTGCACCCTACACTCATTCGCTTCTACCCGGTTCGTTCATTGAGCATACATACACAACGCAAACAGTGTCTGTGTAAGGGAACATTGGCTAAGATGGACAGTTGGCTAAGATGGACACCTAGTCAAATTTGTGACAGATGACGTTTAAATGTCAAATTGATCAGCGTCATGCTAATGATTCATAATGAACTAGTTTTTGCTGTGGTTCCGAAGTGAAAAGACGTGCTCTGTGTTTGTGAAAAAAATTTCGAGTGAAATTTTTCGTAAAAAACTTTTTCCACAGCATTTTTCTTACGATCACAAAGTGAATTTTTTTTCGGCAATTTTGGATGGTAAATATATTAAATGTTTCGTTTTTAAGTCTAATTTCATCGTACAACATGCATTTTGATGTTATTTCATCATCGAAATTTTTTGTGTCGTCATGCAAAAAATGGCGTCTCTTGGCTAAGATGGACACCCATACGTTTACTATGTTTTGATACTGAGATACAATTTTTATGTTCGAATATCGTGTTTTAAGCCACCCAATAGCATTTTAAAGTGAATTTATCGTATTTTATCGTGCTTTTAATATATTTAGTGACCGAAAATGTATAGCAGTTACAAACGGAAATCTGACAGAGGGCTATCAAATAAGGATCCCACTCAAAATCGCCAATCAACCATTGCTTACGGTTGCAACATCGTGCGGAATTCCAAGAACGACCTTAAGACGCTATGTTCAGCAATTTGACGCAACTGGAAAAAATATCGCCCAAATGACAGATGATCAATTGAAAATTTTTGTCCAAAGTTTGCCTACATACGGCACGCACCAATTGGTAGGATAGACCAATTAAATCATTTGTTTTTTTGTTACTAATTTTTTCTCATACGTTGTAGATTTTTACGCCTGAACAAGAAGATGCATTAGTTATCTACATCAAGAAGTGTGCAAACCATTATTACGGACTAAGCATTAGCGAATTGCGTCTGCTCGCTTATCAATTTGCTTTGAAACTCGGAATTGCTGTTCCAGATAATTGGCAAACCGCTGAAACGGCAGGAATATTTTGGTATTATGGTTTTATGGAACGCCATAAGTCGCTGTCATTGCGAAAACCGGAAAATACCAGCTTAAACCGAGTAAAGGCGTTCAACCGAGAAAGTGTCGGTTTATTTTTCAACAATTTGGATGCTGTTCTCACCGACACCATGCATGAACCGGCTAATATTTGGAACATGGACGAAACTGGATTCAGTACCGTACCGGGCAGCGTCGGAAAAATCATTGCTATACGGGGCGTTAAAAAAGTCGGCCAAATGACATCCGGTGAAAGAGGCCAAATGATCACAATGGCTCTGTCTGTAAGTGCAGCTGGTAATTCTATGCCACCATTGTTTTTGTTTCCGAAGAAAAATATGCAAAAACACTACATGACACACGCAACACCAGGTGCCGTCGGCTATGCCAATGATTCGGGTTGGATGAAACAACCAGAATTTCTGTTGTTTATGAAGCATTTCGTGAAATATTCTCACGCATCCAAAGAAAACCCAAATTTGTTGCTCATTGACAACCACAGCTCGCACCTTTCGGTCGAAGCATTAGATTATGCAGCAGAACATGGCATAACACTCCTATCATTCCCGCCACATTGCAGCCATAAGCTGCAGCCACTGGACGTTTCGGTTTATGGTCCAGTGAAAAGCTATTACGAACAAGAATGCAGAAGCTGGTCCAGAAACACACAGGAAAAGATCGAAATGTTTCACATTCCTGAATTGGTTCGCAGCACTCTCGATTTGGCTCTGACACCAATCAACATCAAATCTGGTTTCCGAGGAACCGGCATTTTCCCATACAATCCGAATATTTTCTCAGATATCGATTATGTCGAGGCACCATTTGTTGAAAATGAGAATAATGGAATGCCTGACGAAAGCCAACGTCTCCTACTCGTTACTGATGCAGCACCAGATGTGGGAGCCGAAACCGAAGTCTCTACAACCGATACCTCTGCATCAACAACACCGGTACCGCGTGGAACAACACCGTTATCTCGTGAATCAACACCTTTATCCCGTGCATCAACACCTTTATCTCGTGCATCGAGCTTGGCTTCGATTTTGTCTGATGTTGGGCCTTTAAAACCAGCAAAGCCAAAACCTCCATCAAAAAAACGTGGACCGAAGCCTATGAAAAGTGCGATTCTTACATCGCCTGAAAGTCTTGCTGATTTAAGAGCTAAGAAAGCGAAACGTGACGCCGCAGCCCAGAAGAAAGCGGAAAAAATGACAAGTAAGCGTACACCGAAAGCCCAGAAGAAACCGGGTAAAGCGGCGAACACAACAAAAGCCCAGAAGAAAGCGGCGAACACAACAAAAGCCCAGAAGAAAGCGGCAAACACAACAAAAGCCAAGAAGAATCCGGTTAAAGCGAGCAAACCAAAGTCACCACCCAAACGTAGAAAACAACGCACTTACTCGTCCAAAGATGAAGATTTCTGCACCATATGCATGCAAGCGATGCCGCAAAATCTAACAACGGCCAATTCCATCGCATGCATAGAGTGTGACAGACATGTTCACCTCCATTGTGCCAAGGAATATGCCAAAATCGGCTATACTTGACAACATTGCATGTAAAAATTGGATAAATTCGTTAAATTCAACGACCAATCACCTTTATTTCTTGTATTGAAGGCATAAAAATCAATAAAAATTGATTGAACATTAAAAATTAGGTGTTGTTTCCATTTTTCAGTTCATTTTTTTCACCATTTTTCTGGGTGTCCATCTTAGCCAATGAATTTTTTTTTTATCAATTTTCATATGGTCGGCAAATTTGCGATAAAAAATTTTTTTGCACTACAACAGAAAAACTCTCTTCGGCAAAAAGTTTCCATTTTCCATCCTCTTTCGAACCCTATTGTCAGATTAAAAAAATATGCAAACATAAAAATTTTATAGCCAAAATTCAAAGTGGTGTCCATCTTAGCCAATGTTCCCTTATATGTGGCAATATTGAACGTGCGTTCGTCCAGTTGAACCTTTTTGTCACATATACACAGAAACCGTTCGCTCGATGAATGAACCGAGTAGAAGGCGAACGAGTGTAGCGCGCAGATTCTCTTGCTTGTGTTTTTTTCGTTGTTGTGTCTTCGTTTGTGCGTTCGTTAGGTAACTCAGAAGCTTCTACGTATTTATGTCATTCTTATGTTGAAAAATTCTAAGAGTGCGTCTGGAATTGTTGATTTCGACATAAGACGATCAGCTTTCAAAAGTTCGGGACTTGTCCTTTATCAAAATCATTATCGAATGGACGACAAAGAAAGCTCGATGGCGCACATTTGTCTGCTGTTTATTTTGTTGCACAATTTCATTGCAAACGATTACCCATATTTATTATGTAAATTATTACTGCCTACTCTATTAATAACACGATCACATCTTTCATAATATTGATTTAAATGAAGAACGCTTGATCACAATTGAGAAAGTTAAGTGAACCCGTGAGCATAAAAAGAACGTATTGACTCTTCGCCGATGAATACGAAACGCAAAAAAATCGCC